GTTCTTGTTGTTGCTGTTTTCTTATCTTCTTTTTTTTATTTTTCATTGCGCGACGACCCTCAGTCTGACACATTGAATCGACCAATTTTTTGTTTTTTGTGTCTACATTTGTTTTAGGCTCTGGTTGACATTTGTTGAAATCAGCAAGCAATTGTTTTTTCAGATCTTCAAATTTATTGGTCACGATTTGTTCGATGTTTGTTTTTTTTTCGTTGTCAAATTGCTTCCGAGACCAGCATGTAAAACATGTAACTGCGAAAGGCGATTCAGCACTGAAGAGTTTTTTGAATTCATCTTCAACACGTTTGTCGCTAACATATGAAAATGCATTTTTAGCTGGATCTGTCAATTGTAGAAGTCCAAATTTTATCGAGAAACTCCTCACAACATCATCCCACAATCTCATGCATGCCACATATATCTTTTTCTCACAAATCATGCAGTTCAAATGCAGACCAGAATAGCGTAATCCGTCGCAACCATTTTCAACATAGCAATGCAATTTACTCATGTTGTACCGTCAATTACACTAACAACAATGATGAGACACTTTTTCGTTCGTTTTCTTCCTCTTCTTTTCTTTAATTTACTTCAAATCACTTAAACTTGATGTTTTTCTTGTACACAATTCAATAATAATTCTTTCAATAATTTTTCCTGTTTTTTTTAATGTGATTTCGATTAAAATTAAGCAAAATTAAAGTATCCAAATAGAGGCGAAGAAAAAAAAACATGCAGACGTGACAGCTCACGTCATTGAGAAAATAAATTTCCAAAAATTACGAACGAACGAACGTGTTCGTTGTTCGTTGTTCGTACGAACATACGAACGAACAATCCGAACAATTCATTTTCTACGAACGAACGAACGAACAAAAAGACCAAAAAAATATTCTACGAACGAACGAACGAACGTTCGTGGACAGCTATGACTTGAAAATAACCAATGTGATATCGAAGCCTCAGCAAACGAGCAACCGATAAAGAATAACGCCGCTACTCCAAGAGTGACTGGGTCTGCCATAATGATAATAACATCACTTTCTTTTTTTTCACTCTATAATTACGAACTATTTGATTATTTATTTATTTTTTTTCTATTTATGTTTATATAACTTTTTACTTGACTTTAAATTTGTTATAACTTTTTGGTTTGGGTTCTTTTGTCGAACTTCGCCATGTATTTTATGCTAATTGACTATATATAAGAGTAATTAGTGTATTCAAACCCAATTTTATAGCAAAAACAGCGCCATATTCGGTCTTTTCATGCCAAAAAACCCCCATATACTCATTTTCAGAGCGTTTGAATGGATACCAATTTTACTTCAAAATGTGGATTTCAAAAGGGAATAATCAAATCAATTTTTTTTAAATGACTCAATTTTTTTTAAAACGAATTGTGTGGCTTAACTATACTTGAACCGTACTACAACGCCTGATTGGTCACCCCTCTGGGATATTGCATGAATTCAAAATGTTACTAGAGTATAAACAGCCAATTTTGGTTTTACGGAAAACTCTCTAGAAAATTGTGGAAAATCCTGACGTGTTAGATAAAAACGGGTGATGCCATTGAAATCGGCATACTCAAATTATGTAAAAACGGTGGGTCTCGTCTCCATCACACTTTTAAAGTTGAAAAATTACGCATCGTGTATTCCATATACAATTCTTATGATACTAATGAATGTCGTTTCTCCTTTCCATGTATTCACACCTAAATGTTACGCTATGGCAAACGTAAAAATGATTGAAAAAAAAAAAACAAACACATTTAAATTAATTTTTAAGCGAATTTATACATATTATTTATTCAAGTCGTCAAAAATAAGTCAATTTTATTCCGTTTCCTAACATTCACCAGTTTCATTATTATTATTATTGGGCGCGAATAAAACGGCTTCAAAATCAGTGAGTAAAATAAATTATAGTGTTCAATAGTGTTTTATTTTTGTAACTATTATTAAAATAAAATAATTTTTTGTGGAATTGTTCACACTAATAAGCTATGTTTGAAAATTATTACATAATATATAAGTGACTTATTTATTTCATTTTTTAAAGATTAAAGGTGTTGGCGATCCAATTATGTTCTTGCAAATACCAAACTTTTGCATATTTTTTTTCGTTTTTGACAAAATCTTTCCACTACGCTGTTCAGCAGAGCAATGATGGGCAAACAGTTTGCATCAATGATTTCAGTGTTTCCAAAATTCATTGCAGGCTAAAATTTATTGGAAACTACTAAATTTAACCATATTTTCAGCTCCGTAATTTGTGCTCGTTTCAAATTAGTCAAAATGGCATAGATTTTGATATCGGAACGACATATTGAATAAAAATTGGATTGCTATATAATTTATGACGATAAAAGGCTCTCACCTTGGAAATAATCTGAATATCTTAACTTATAATTTTATACATAGATGGATATTATAATAATTCTTCGAAAATGTATCTTTTTCGATCCGTTTACTTCAAAATGAATTTTAACTCTATTATTTCGTTATGAAAGAAGAGTAAACTTAACAATCTATCGAGCAAAGTTGAGAAACTTTATGTTTTTTATAGTTATAATTCGTTTTTTTTTCTGTCAGAATTGACTATTTTGTGATTAGATTTCTTCTTATACAATATTTCATGTGAATAGGAAACTGAAAATTTAAAGAAACAGAAATAGTATGCTTTGAAGTTGTTCATTGTTAACATAAGTCATATTAGATTGAATTTTTATTGTAATTAAAAGTAATAAATGTACGAATTCAAATTGACACTGAGTTAATGTATATATGTATCTTTAATCAACGTATAAAATGTTTGTTCTTATTTTATGTTAAAAACAATTAAGAAAGAAAAATGGAGGAAAAAAAATACTTCAATATGCTTCTCCTATGTTTAAAAATTGCCTTTGATTTGAGTTGAATTATCAGAATCACAAATGTGTTCTGTTTTTGTTCTTGTGTTGAAATAAGAATAAAATTGGCTATAACTTTGCTTAGATATTGCAAACATAGCGCGTTATTTACTTCGACTTTATTTTTGTCCTTTTTGTTTGAAATAGGATTAACAATATATTGTTGTATTAATCCATTTCTTCATACGAAGAAGTGGGCACTTCGAACATGTATCGCCTCGATCTCTCATCAATAATATGTAATTTGTTTTCAAATGCAATTTAAACAGATCTTTTGGATATTATTTATATACTGTTGGGAATATACTGTGTGTGCGTTTAATTGCTTACAGCTAAAACAAACCTTTCTTCTTTTTCTCTTTTTTGTCTTTTCCGTCGACGGTCCTGTAAAAAGTGTTTAGAATTTAATAAGTAAAGAATTAATAAGAACATCCTTATGTGTAAAGTTATGTCAAATTTTGTGAATTTCATTTTAATTTGATTTTTTTAATAAATTATGAATAAAGTTTATTGATAATAACCAAATCGATTTTTTCTGACCCAACCAATTCTGTTTCTCTCATTTTAAAATTAGGAGAGTGCTGATTTTTTTTGTGAAGGCATGTGTTAAAGAATGCAACTTATTCTATGTACATGTAATGGTTATAGCCAATTAGAAGATCGAAAAATTCTGTGTACATATAATAAAAAATATTCACAGTGCATAGCGATTTATATTCAGACTTCTTCAAGATAAATAAACTCGATTGCACATAATATGTTTGTGTATTGTCGCGATATTCTCTAGTGTTGCCAATTGCGACTTAAAAATTTCATGTGGGAGTGGCCAAATTGGCCAAATACCAAAATGAGATCGTCTGATCGGACACATAACGGTCATTTTTCCGAAAAATATTGCACAGTTCCTTTCGAAAATTTCATCAATTTAAGCAAGTCAAAGATAAAAAATGTGCATACTACACACCACTGAAAAGAAAATCCACTGTTGATTTTCCAAAAACAAAAAATTCTCTAGCAAATCAGACAAATTTACGTTTTTTTTTTTTTTTTGGAAGTCACTTTTCGAGGCTAAAATCCTTATCAAATCGAAAGAATTTTCTCCGCGAAAACCCCTTGCAAATCGGAAAAAAATCTCTCGGAACCAAAAACCGTAGCAAATTGAAAGAATTCTCCTCAATTTTCTACATTGATGAGCTAAAAAAAAAAAGTTTTCACTTTTTTGAATCAAAAACCCTAGCAAATTCGAATAAATTTCGCAAAAAAAATATCTCATCCAAATCACAGGGGGGGGTAAACCCCCCTCCGCACACTACTGCTGTGCACTGTGAATATAAACTTAGTATACATTTGTATATTCAAAACGTTTCAGAAATTCTCTCCTTTTTACTTTGAGTTCATTCTGACGCAACGTTCCGAATTTACAAATTAGTTGTGTTAGTTTTTTGTATTCACACAATTGAATTGGTTAGAATAAAAATCCGACTTGTATGCAAAGTCTATAAAAGTTGAACACAGGTTTTTTTTTATATAGAATTGCTGTTGCATTACAACAAATAAACTATGAAAAAAAACTCCGTGTTCAACTTTTATATACTTTGCATACAAGTCGGATTTTTATTCTAACCCATTCATGGGTGTTGTAATTGTAACCATAGTTTTATTATGAATTCATTACATTATAATAATAACGTGAGAAATGTATTTTCGAGATGAATTTTACCGTCAATTTTCCATTTGATGCAAAATGGTGACTCCAAAATTCTTAGCTCAACTGAAAAAAAGTCAGTTTTGCTTACATCAAACATTTAATATTTACTGTCGGCTATTTTAGCTGATTCAAATCAAGAAAATACTACACATTGTATATCATTCAAAATAAGGAAATCCCGTGTTTAAATGAATTTCGTAACCAGGTTTTTCGCAACATTTTGGTTACATCGTCATGCCGAGTGTTATTCGGACTTCACTTGTGTCGAAGTTTTCATCAAAGTAAGATCACTATTAAGAGGCTTGGATTTTTTTTGCATATTTAGAAAAAAATGATAAATGTAGTTACGGTTACGGCGTGCGCTCACACAAACACACACACGCACTTGAATCAGCCAATACCATTCATATTTCATTTATTAATTAGAATATAAGAGGATCAGTAGTTTGAATAGATTCAGATAAGTCAATACCATACACTGTTCAATTAGAATATAAGAGGATTAAATAAACTGAGAAAAATTATATTTTTCTTCAACTGTTGTCTTCTACAGTTTAACCAAAGTTTTTTATTTCGTACAGATTTTTCTTTCAGATGATGGTGGGTGATATATGAACGCATAGTTCAAGAATTATATATGGTGAATAGTTCTTTGTTGCTTCTTTATGAGTTTTGAATTTTTGAAGGTAAACGATTTATTTTGAAGAATAGCAACTCGATTTTTTTCTTATTGACATAAAATTTTGTTTGCTCTAATTTTTTTTTCACTTGTAATTCAAACTCTTTCAAAATAACTGCAGACACGACATCGTCAATTTTCAATTAAATTGATTCATTTTTCGTTGTCGATTGGTAAATGTAATATATATGAACGGTGGCTTTATGATTTTTTTTTCTTCAATATAAATACATTTTAATCGTATGTATTTATATCGTCATCATTGAAATACTTTTGTTTGATTTTTTATCATCTCTGCTCGCATTGGAGAAAATATTTGAATTCAAAGTAGTATGTAACATTTCATACGTTTTTTGTTGCTCGTTGACGTTTATACGTTTATATAAGTTTTCGATAGATGGCGACACAAATAAGATTTTAATTTTAAATATTTATTCTCTCCATTGAAATCGATGAAAGAAAACGTAATACATGTAGACATTACATGCTTTGTTGACTAGGATAATTTTAGTTCAAAATTAAGAAATCCAACATAACAAAAAACAGTTCTTTTCAGGACTACTAATTTATTTTTTATAAAGAATTATTTCATAATACATTCACCTCCATAGAAATAGCGTATTCCGTTCGTTTACTTGAAAATCAAATATGTTCTAAACGGCAATTGAAAGTGTTTTGATATTTTTTTCATATGCGATACGCTCGAAAATATGGTTGACATAACTGTTCATGATTGACATGGCTTTGTTGGAAACACCAGTGTCTGTGTTAACTTGGTAGTCACAAACTGAATGCCAAAACACATATCGCAACATTCGCGTTTTCACTGCATATCGCAACATTCGCGGTTTCACTGCATATCACAAAATTTCGCGAAGAAAAACCTAGAGAAAAACTATTTATATATCCACGCGCTGAAAAGGACTGTTTTTTTGTTTTGTTGTTGAGTTTTGAACTAAAATTATCCTAGTCAACAAAGCATGTAATGTCTACATGTATTACGTTTTCTTTCATCGATTTCAATGGAGAGAATAAATATTCAAAATTAAAATCTTATTTGTGTCGCCATCTATCGAAAACTTATATAAACGTCAACGAGCAACACCTGCTACCATACTACTTTGGTGGATCCATTTTTTGTTTTTGTGTTTATGACTTTTGTTTGCTCATAACCATTTAAACAACGATATAATCGAATGAAAATTAAAACAATCACCAATAGATGGCGCATCGTCTAGTTGCTTGTATATACGCGACCAATATAAACATAAATGCAAAGTGTATTGGTCATTGTTTCAGATTGAATTAATTATGCGCAATTACATACACATACACATATACTGTAGCAGCTAGTTTGTCGGCACTGTTATTACGAAATGTCAAATAATCTTTCGCACTTACACAGCGAGCTCCATTCGGAATAGTTAAAATAATTTAGTCTCAAAGGGGGAAAAAAACCGTAATTAATTTTTTTTGTGCTCAAAATCAAATAAGCCTCAATAATTATCGAATTAATTCATATTTTGTCGTGATTTCAAACAAATTGATAACAAATTGGAAAATATTCTAAACTTTAAAAAACGTGTTTGATAATTTCATCATCTAAACGATCAAAGAAAGTGAGACGCAATTGTCAATCAGACCAACGGAACGATTTTTCCTGTGCATTAATTCATCCAAGTCCCAAAATAAATCAGGTAAATTCATGTTTTGTCGTGTTTCGAAAATAAATTATCGCTATCGGCACGTGTTCAATTTTTTTTTTCTTTGCTTTTTGAAGTTTGGTTATGTTCTGTTCCGCTTGTTTGTTGTCCAAGATCTTTCTTTGATATTGTACGAATATGTATCGATTTGTTTCTATTTTTTCCGTATTTTATAATTAAGGATGCGTCCGAAGCGTACTTGCGTTAATGAAACTGTGGACAATAGTCAACAAACTGAGCCGGCACAAGATCAAGACGAAGAAGAAGAAGAGAATCATCCATTGGATGTGACTGTGGACAATAGCCAACAAACTGAGCCGACGGAGTTCAGCATTCAATTACAACAGTGTACACTAGGGTGTGTCCACATGGAAAATATTAAAAAGTGGCTAGTATCATTTTGAAGAGCGTAAAATTCTGTATAAGATGATTTGATTTTTTATGCTGATTGGTGGCCGATGTCACTTCCTGGACTAAAAACAAATTTGTAAATTGATTTCATGTCGCATTCACGCCAGAATGTGTAATCAATGAAATTATAAGATTGAACAAAATTAAAAACATGAAATATAATTTTAATATCAATATTATTGCTTAAATATTCAAAAAAAGTAACACAAAAACTAACAATTCTACCACAATAAACCAAAACAATGCAAAATCGCCAATTCATTTGACACATAACCTGTCACCGAATCACGCTTCAAATGTCATTCTGTCAAATGAATTGGCGATTTTGCATTGTTTTGGTTTATTGTGGTAAAATTGTGAGTTTTTGTGTTACTTTTATTAATATTTAGGCAATTATTTTGATATTAAATTTATTTTTAGTGTTTTTAATTTAGTTCAATCTTATATTTTCATCAATTACAGATTTTGGCGTGAATGCGACATGAAATCAATTTACAAATGTGTTTTTAGTCCAGGAAGTGACATCGGCCACCAATCAGCATCAAAAATCAAATCATCTTATACAGAATTTAACGCTCTTCAAAATGATAATAGCCACTTTTTAATATTTTTCATGTGGAAACACCCTAGCTGTACACCATGCACCGTTGGTTTGGAAGTCATGTCACAGAACGAATCTGAAACTCAGTATTTCAATCGATACCGAGCCACATCAAAACAATCGACAGCAACAACAACACTCAAATTCGTCAAGCCACCATTCACCGATACACCAAAATATACAAAATGCCAGCACATCGTCAACACACAGTCAAATCGAAATGGAATGTCAAAATGTGTTTTCTTCCATGACAAGAATAATAGCTTCAAACAAAGCTAGAATATTAAAATCGCTTAAAATGACTACATAGTTTTTTTTTGTAGATTTTCATTGATTTCATATAACAGAATCCATATGATTTACAACACATTTCTCTCTACACACAGTTGAAACAATTGCAAATGAATTGAGCACACGGTTGAATCAGTTCACACGGAACATCAAATTGAATTCAAACGTTAAGCGAAAAGTCGAAGATTTGAAACGAACAACTCGTGCCACCAGTATGCCGAATACATTGAATAATGATAATGTCAGCGATGATTTCAATGATGGTGACGATGGCGACAATGGTGATGAGGATTCAGAAAGATTCCAATCGATCAAAATGGGTAAACGTAAGTCATTCAATGAAAATCTAGTGAATAAGGATGAATTGGCTAGCATTATCAATAAAATTGTCACGGACATGAGTCACACTTGGCGACTTGGCGCACTCAACGTACACTGTAGCCTCATGCGAATCATACAATCGAACAATGAAGATGCCATTCGTGCCGAATTTTGGAATACTACGTGTGAATACAATCGAAATTATTTTGATGGTTATTTTCGTGGTTTGTATGGTAATCGTATCAATGCACACACGGGAATAATGTATAGATTATTGGTAGAAATGATTTTTTTTTTTAAATCTATACAAAAGTTTAGATATCTCAACAAAAATTTATTTTTT